AATAAAAAAAATGAATAACGTGGTCCTAGGAGTTGGTTGGTTCCCTCCCTCTTATCTTCTACAGGTAGACTTGCCTTAAGTCTTATGTTTTCTCTAAATCTTCTTTGTGTTCTTTCCATTTGTATTTGGTCCCTAGAACTTCGGATCAAGAGACAAAACTCCTCAGATAGCATCTCAAGCCTCAACAGCATCACTAGCCATTCCAGCATTGGCAGCAGCAAGGATGCTGATGCAAAAAAGAAGAAAAAAAAGAGTTGGGTAGGTAAAGGTTTGGGGGGAGGGAAGTACGTAGAGCATGGTGGACCGCCTTCACCTCAGCGTAGGGACTGGATCCTTCCAGGATTAGCCAAGACGGAGTCCCTGCTAATCCTAAGCTCCAGTTTGATGTCTGCTCAGAGCAAGGTCTGCTAAATTCCCCTTGCCCTCCACTGTTCCCTACTTGTCCCAAGGCCACCCTCCAACCTTTATATTTAGTATATATCTGCTTTCCTTGGGGCCTCCATACCTTTAGGCCAAATGTATTTGGCAACAGGAGGATGCTGAGAAAATATCTGGAAGGGAGCGGCTAATCAATTTCTTCCCCAAAGCCCCCCACTCCCTTCTATACTGTGGAGAGATTTTATGAACAAAGCTGTTCATTCTCGATGCTCCTAGAGGTTATTTCCTCAATTTTGGGGAAGATTTGTAGAGCTTTCCGGATTACTTCAAAAAGACTCTTTATATTACCTTTGGTTGGTCCAAAGGTAATTTTTATGAGTGTTTTTTTTTTTTTTTTTCCCCTCTCAGATACTCCTAAACTGACTTTGGGTGACCTTTCTGAAATTCTTTAGGCAGGTCTAGAACACTCTTGGCTCCTCTTGCTGACTGTGGTAAGAAGAGCATCCCCAGTTGGAGACTTCTTGCTCCTCCGTCCCCTGTGCAGTAAGACTGTCCCGCAGACCTTTGTATGATGCAGACAGGTGCCAGCTGTGTGAAATGAGTGATTAAGTGTTGCTTCTTTTTTTTTCCCCCCTTCAATATGCTGACTCCAAATCCCTATTTTTTTCCAGGTCTACGAGGTAAGAGACCCGGTTCCTCTCCCCTTATTTTCTCTTTCCCTTTGCCATACCTTCCCTATTTCCAGAGCAACTCCCTTCCCCTAAAAAATGAACAGCCACTCATACCACTAACTGTAACAGCCACCCCGGAGTTCCTAACTCACCCCACTGCATGGTCCATCCGCAGCTGCCCCTGAGGACAGAGGAGTGGTCTGGTTCGGGGTGAAATGGAAAAGTCAAACAAAATTCAAATCTGTTCCCTACTATGTTTGTCTGTTACAAAATTGGCCTGTTGTAAAAGCAGTCAAATTGAACTCCTTCTATCCGGAAAGCGAGCCATCTTATTTTTGATTCCATTAAACCTAGAAACCCAAAATGGAAGCAAATTGCTGGATGAAGGTTATCTTGACCACAATTTCCAGAGACCAGTTCAGTTTGGGTATAACCTGAAGATTTAGCTCTAGAGTAGGATGAACCAGAGATAGGTAGGAGATATAGTCCAGTCTAGGGCACACTCGAGGCATCTCAAAGACTAAAACCCTCTAAGCATCCATGGAGTTTCCCAATACACTTGAAGGATTAGAGTATGATCTAAGACAAACAGAAAGTGAACCCAGAATTTCTGTTACAAACCAGACATCGGAGATCCACTCTAACCCTATCCCAACATTGTGAAGGATGTGGAAAATGGAGTCTATAATCTCAGTCATTAAGGAGTCTACAGTATTGCTGGGGAGACAAAAAATATTGTACGTATGAAATTAATAGCAATCCAATGGTGCCACAATGTTTATTCAGGCAATACATGCTAAAGGAGTTCATAGATGAGCCAGGGGAAACATCTCAAAGGAGGTAAAAGTTAAACTGAGAAGGGATTGTGATAAGTAGAGAGGAGTGTGTTGGAATGTTTTCTATATAGATACTGTCTGATCAGAACAGAAACAGTGGGCAGGGAGAAGACCAGCTTGACTAGAGCACTGCCTGAACAGGGCACAGCACAGATGGGAAGGGCCTGATGATTATTTAAACTTGATTCTTTAGATTAGCCTTTCCCAAAGTGTGTTCCACAGATCACGAGTCCATGGAGATGCTCCTTGAAGAGTGATACCATCATCAAATAAATTTGAGAAACACTGCATTTTCTACAGTGCACATCTAGACAGGGAAAGTTCTAAGATATCCCCCAGCAAAGAATCTTGTTTCACTTGGCTTAATGCATTGTTCCCTGAACTCATTTAACCATGGAACCATAGCCACAAAACACTGAACATCTCCCAGCAGTCTGGCTTTGGGAATACTGAACAGCATGTAGAGCACTAGTCTCACTTAGGATTTCATTGATCTGAGAGAGCTTATGCTCCAGGCAGATTGTAGTCACAGGATCTCTTTCTGCATCCACACACACACACACACACACACACACACACACACACACACATACACATACACACACGGCTTTCCATGAGGCAGTGATATGGAGAAAACTTAATTGGACTGAAAATTAGGAAGCCTGAATTCTAGTCCCAGTGCTTTTTTTCAATTATGCAATTTCAAGCAAGTCAACTCTCTGGCCTTTTCAGCCTCCCTGCTTCATCTCTGCTGAGAACTGAGCTTTGTGGTACTTTCAAGCCCAGACTACTCAGTGATAATGAGTCACCAGGAACCAGCCAGCTACACACATACTCCTCCGCTCACATCCCCGCTGCAGCAAGCTTGATCCTCCTTTATGTCTTGCCTGGTGGAAACCCCAATGCGCACTACCCACCCTCTGTCATCTAACAGCCTTCCTGTGTTCCAGGAGCGACACTTAGAAGGAGCGCCCTCAAATTTTCCTTCTTTTTTCTCACTATCCCAAAGATCTGGCTTGTCTTTGTCCCCTATAACCTTTGACCCCTCCTTGACTCTCTGTCTCTCGCTGCCATTCCCCATCCGTGTCCCCGTGCGTGTGCATGCTGTCTGGGTGCATGTGAACCGTGTGGGACAGGACTCTGTTTGCATCTCTAGCTCACAGCCCTAACACCCAAGCTCATCGACACCGAGATGAAACAAGCTATGGTTGGATTATAATGTCACAAGTACGCTAAGGAAATACTGGGAAATACCCCTTCTTCTAGGACATTTGAAATAGTAGAAAGTGCTTATGGCTGGTTTCAACCATTCTGTGATGTGCTGGGCACAAGAACTAGTAAAAGAAACTTGATACCACTGCCTTCTCTTGTTCTCCACAGAATCGTTTTCTCAGTGTCTGGTTGATAGGAAAACAGATAAATAGATTCTGGGCTGGTGAGCCCTGGTCAGAGGTGGCATCTGAGACCCAGAGTGAGCTGGGTTCTGGTCTGCAGCAGAAGGTGGGGTTGGGTTGCTAGAGGTATACCGTGTGACCTCCGGGAACTTCTCTCTGTCCCCATCAGGGCACGGTTCCCCCATGGGAGAGAGAACACCCCAGTCAACTATAACTGCAGCAGCAGTAAGCCAGAAGGTTCTGCTTGTTCTCTCAGTCCTAATTTCTAGGCAACTTTTCTGTCCATATTCCATGAATCAAGCGAAGCCTCACAGAGAGAGGCTTAGTTACGACAAGTAAATCCCCTGCGTCCTCATCTCTGTCTCAGAAGTCCCAGACCAGTCCTCTCCCGTCCCCAGAGTGGAGTCCTGACGTCTTTCTACCTGGATCTGCTTTTTTCTAGCTTCGAAGTTCCTTCAACAAAGCCTTCAGCATAAAAAAGGGACCCAAGTCAGCGTCCTCGTACTCTGATATAGAGGAGATTGCCACACCTGACTCCTCAGCCCCCTCGTCCCCCAAACTACAGCACGGCTCCACAGAGACTGCGTCACCCTCCATCAAGTCCTCCACCTCATCTTCTGTGGGCATCGATGTCACCGAGTAAGTGCTCCCCACCTCCCTGCCCCCAGCCTGGATCAGTGTAAACTGCTGGCTGGAGTTGGCAGTAAGCCCATCAGACCCTGGACAAGCGCTGCCTTGCTACTGTCCTCTCCCTGGGCATGTGAGACCAGCAGACGGACCTTAGCTCCCATCGCGATTGACTGTCTACGGGCCGCAGGAGCCAAGCCTGCCAGCCGTGCAGCTCGGTCTTCCCTGGCTACTCTAACGCTTCTCCGTGCAGCCTGGCTTGACTCTTGCTTTCTCACAGGGCCCCTGCTCACCCAGCTCCCCACACTAGGCTGTTCCATGCCAATGAGGAGGAGGAGCCGGAGAAAAAGGAGGTATCAGAGCTGCGCTCTGAGCTCTGGGAGAAGGAGATGAAGCTGACAGACATCCGCTTGGAGGCCCTCAACTCTGCCCACCAGCTGGATCAGCTTCGGGAGACCATGCACAACATGCAGGTCAGTATCTGGGAGGAGAGCTGCAGGGAAGGGAAGACTGAGATTTGCTGTCTGGCCAACCCTGCCGCCCTCCCCTGTCCTGTTCTCGCCACAGTTGGAGGTGGACCTGCTGAAAGCAGAGAACGACCGGCTGAAGGTCGCCCCAGGCCCCTCATCAGGCTCCACTCCAGGGCAGGCCCCTGGATCATCAGCTTTGTCATCCCCTCGCCGCTCCCTGGGCCTTGCACTCACCCATTCCTTCAGCCCAGGTCTCGCAGACACAGGTACCTGTTTGGGAGAAAATTCTCTAAGGTGGAGAGAAGAAAAGGGTTCATGTCACTGTTACGCCATTCCAGGTGCGCTGGTGACATCTTCCTTGAGTCAGAGAGGTAACAATGCTTAAACCAAGCAGACACCAGTGTCATGAGACACTAAGTGTTGTTATGGTCCTTCCACTGTAATTACTTTTCAGTTTGGGACCTCTGTTTCTTCTCTGTGGCAGATATTATATATTTGGAAAGGATAATGATGGGAAAGTTTAGGAAAGGCTATGGGTGCTGCTGAAACCACTTGGTCCTCTTTAATCCCCACAGACCTATCACCCATGGATGGCATCAGCACCTGTGGTCCAAAGGAAGAAGTGACCCTTCGGGTGGTGGTGAGGATGCCCCCCCAGCACATCATCAAAGGGGTAAGGAACAAACACAATGCTGTTATATTTATCCAAGAAAATACGGGCTCTGAAGACCCCCAAAACCAAAGTACTCAACTCCTAAGGCCTTGTCAGATCTCCCTTTCTTGGAGTCATCTGCCCTGAGGCTCACGTGCTTCTACCTTGGCCTTACAGGACTTGAAGCAGCAGGAATTCTTTCTGGGCTGTAGCAAGGTCAGTGGAAAAGTTGACTGGAAGATGCTGGATGAAGCTGTTTTCCAGGTGTTCAAGGTAAGGGGTGCCTGTACTCACAGAGGTCGCTCGTCCTCTCACGGGCTACTAAGCCATCCAGGCACTGGGATCCTGGGGACCTCTGCTGCTTTGCAGAGAAATGCCGCATAGGAAAAGCGGATGCTCTTCTCTTCCTCCATCTACTTTCGTTGCCTCTAATGTTCATTCTTTCTAGTGGCTTTTACAGCTGTGTTTGTATCTTTTCAGGGTCTCTCACCTGTTCTTCTTGTTCTCCCCTTGTCTTCTGTCAGGACTATATTTCTAAGATGGACCCAGCCTCCACCCTGGGACTAAGCACTGAGTCCATCCACGGCTACAGCATCAGCCACGTGAAACGAGTGCTGGATACGGAGCCCCCCGAGATGCCTCCTTGCCGTCGAGGTGTCAACAGCATATCAGTCTCCCTCAAAGGTCAGTCTGTGTCTCTTGGGGTGAGGGAGTGCGGCACGGAGGCAGAGAGAGGACCGTAAAATAATCCATCGTGCATTTATTCAACACAAGTTTATTGAGAAACTGTGATGTTTAAGTAAGTGAGATATGAAAAGATGAGTAAGAGCCAGTCCTGACTTTTGTTCCCAGGGACATTTTTGCCAAGCCCTGGCTTCTTACTCCAGCCCTCACCCCCCAGTCCAGAGCATGTCCCTAGAAATGAGATCGAAGTTTTCAAAGCTAGGGGTCAGGGGATTCCAGTGGAACTATGGGGTGAGTGGCTCTGAGTTTCTTCACTGGGCTCCTAGATGAAGAAAGAAAAGCTCTTCGGGGCCCTGGTCAAGACTCACGCTTTCTGGGGTGGGGGTTCAGGTCTGAAGGAGAAATGCGTCGACAGCCTGGTGTTCGAGACGCTGATCCCCAAGCCGATGATGCAGCACTACATAGGCCTCCTGCTCAAGCACCGGCGCCTCGTGCTCTCGGGCCCCAGCGGCACGGGCAAGACCTACCTGACCAACCGGCTGGCCGAGTACCTCGTGGAGCGCTCCGGCCGGGAGGTCACCGAGGGTATCGTCAGCACCTTCAACATGCACCAGCAGTCTTGCAAGGTGCTGCCTCCTGAGACCCCGCCAGCCTGTGTCCGGGCCTCAGCCTACCCCAGGACCTCTCTCGGGCCCATCCCGCCTCGCCATTCCCTTCCGCCCGTCCTCACCTCTGCCTTCCTCTTTCTCCCCCTCTGCTGTGTGCTTTTCCTCTCCCCTCTATCTCATCCCCTTGGCTAGTCTTCCCCCTCCCCTGCCCCCAGTTCTTTTCCAGACATTTGCCCTCAACTGCTTTCTCCACACTTTCCCTTGCCTCTGTTAAGCCACTTTGATTAACCTGCACCCTCTTCATCTCCATCTCACTCTCTGCCGACCCTGTCAATCCCATCCCTTCTCTTTTATTTTCTTCCCTCTACTTCTCTTTTCAATATTACTTGATCTTGAGCTCTCAGGGAGGAAGTACTCAGAACTAAATGGTACATGTTGTGCCCTCCGCTGATGTCTCCTGAGCATCCCCGAATACTCCGGAGTTGGTTCAAATCTTGGCTCTCCCCAGCTGGGGGAGGCTGGTCCATTAATAGTAGTTCATGGTACCAACTTAATGAAAATCCACTTAGGAAATAGCATGTGTTCCCCACCCCTGGGAGATTTAGGGGCCACTGCTTAAGGGGGCTGCTTTAGAGCCTTTGGGACCACCATTTATCAGTCTGTGGTGATCTGGTTCTATAGTCCTATGTCTAAGTACATGGGACAGGAACCAGGGCCCCAGGGAAATCCAAAACTCGCAAAGCTTCTCCAAAATCCTGCGTTCCAAGGCTGATCAAGGTGCTGATTCCTGAGCGCCCACCCACTGCCTTCTTTTATTCCAGGATCTACAACTGTATCTTTCCAACCTGGCTAATCAGATAGACCGGGAGACAGGAATTGGGGATGTGCCTCTGGTGATCCTGCTGGACGACCTCAGCGAAGCAGGTTCCATCAGTGAGCTGGTCAATGGGGCCCTCACCTGCAAGTACCACAAATGGTAAGCTGGGTCAGGACCACGCTCACCGCGATGGCAGGAGGGAGACCCAGTGCAGTGCAGTTTATGAGCTTTCACTGTGTGCACAGGGCAGAAAGCAAGGGTTAAGACAAGTCTAAGTGGATGTTTTCCCCCTTTCTTTCCACAGTCCCTATATTATAGGTACCACCAATCAGCCTGTAAAAATGACGCCCAACCATGGTTTGCACTTGAGCTTCAGGTAAGAACTGTGGCCCTGGATGAACCTCCTGAGCCTAGAAACTAGTTAAAGCATGGGCCAGTGGGGAGTGCAGAGCAAGAGGAAAGAGAAGTAGCCAGAGCCTGTTAGGCAGGGAAGAGAAAGTACGTGTATTTGCTATGTCAGATATAGGGTGGAGGAAGACACTTGAGAGGAAAAGACACAAAGCTAGGAGAGACCCAGGTAGGCTGCTGTTACTAGGATTTTCTGCCAGTTCACCCTGATCCGGGTCAGCGAGGTGAGCTGGTTATCTGAAGAGGGTCACTGATTTGAGAATCAGCTGTACGAGCCCAGGGCTGCTGCCCGGAGTTGAACTGTCCCCACTATTACCTGAGAAGAAACCAGTGGGCATCAGTGAGGGGCAGGCAAGAGGAGGGACGGACTGGCAGGGGATGAATCCTGACAGTGTCCCCATTGCCACTCTGATCCCACTCTCCCCATCCCTGGTGGCAGGATGTTGACCTTCTCCAACAACGTGGAGCCAGCCAATGGCTTCCTGGTCCGTTACCTGAGGAGGAAGCTGGTAGAGTCAGACAGCGACATCAATGCCAACAAGGAGGAGCTGCTTCGGGTGCTCGACTGGGTGCCCAAGCTGTGGTATCACCTCCACACCTTCCTCGAGAAGCACAGCACCTCAGACTTCCTCATCGGTACTGGGGTCCAGCTTCCCTCTTGGGGTCAGGAGGGGCCTCCCCTTTCTGCTCTACCGCGTGGAGGGATGCTCCCTCTTCTTCCTGGCATCTCCGCGTGTGGAGGAGTTGCGGGCCTCGTGGCGTCAGACTTAGAGCCACTTGAGCGCTTGACAAGCCTTCCCAACACAGTTAGCACCATGATTTGGGTAAATCACTTCAACCTTCAGAAAGCTAACCCTTCTCCCTCATTTTTCCCCCACAATTAACAGAAAAAAAAGAGGGAAAGTATGTAGGAGGGAATTAAAAAGCTTGCCTCACTTCCTTAGCTCACTCCCGCCTTCTGAAGCATGATTTATGAGACTGCCAGCCAGGCAGTCCGCACCCATTGTCTTGACAACTCTAAATGTCCTTTAGTCCTTTGGATGCCGGACTCCTCTGCCTGGTTCTAAGGAGTGAAAGAGGCATGCAACTGGGAAGGTCTAGGTCTCAGCCGTCTTCATGGCCTCATCCTTTTCCCTAGGCCCTTGCTTCTTTCTCT